TATTAGGAAATAAGAATTCCATATTAGGAAATAAGAATTCCATATTAGGAAATAAGAATTCCATATTAGGAAATAAGAATTCCATATTAGGAAATAAGAATTCCATGTTAGTAAATACAACTAAGTTCACAACAAAAAATAATAATTATATAATTTTCACCACCTACACAGTAGACTAGATCCTTGCCTTCTAAACCAAACGGTTGATACAAAAATATTAGAAAAGGTATATACATTGTATAATCATAAAGAACAAGATCTGTTATGCATTAATACACCCATTGTAGTACTGTATTCATACATTAGTGTGTGGCATCCTCATACATGTAAAACCCTTATTTTCATAGTTTGTTATTTATTCTTGAATATTGAAAAACAAATCATTTTTGCAATATACTTATACAGTTTTTAATGAAATTTAAATCCTAGCTAAAACAATCTACAAATATCATTGATTTTTTTTTCCAACTAAGATTTGTTTGTAACTCAGTAGCATCAACACACATTGAAAATCCCAAATTCCCAGGGTTAAAATTACTGCAAAATGACTAATTTTCAATGGGTTTAAATTTCGCTGATTTACCATTTCAGGCATATTCAGTGGGTTTTAAATTCACGGTTTTATCATTTTGATAATGTTTTCTAAGCTAAATTTCACATATTCAATGGGTATTAATTTAGCGCATTTTCCAGTCAGCGAAATAAGCAAAATTGAAACCCAGTGAATAATTAATCCCTTTACAGTATATGTATTTTATAAATATTTTACTGTAAACGTATAACCTTTTTGGTGGCATTTAATTTCTCTATTTTGTGAACATTCACTGGGTTTCAATAATTTAGAGAAAAAATGATTTCTATTGAAATTTGTAATGTTCTCATGGATTTCACTTAGCAGTTTTTACTTACATGTTTCAGTAAAAATATTACAATTAAATCCTAGAGAATACAAAATGAAGATATACAGTTGAAACTAACCTTGAATGCATATTTTTTATGAACCTTATCTTCTTGTATAACAGGACTAATAGTATAGCTTGGCAAGAGAACTGACATCAAAATATTCTCCTCCTCAGGACCTGTAGATAAACACAACTACACTTAAAGTGACACTGTCATCAAAACTCATCTGTGCATATCTGTTCAATTTGTGTGCATATTTTTGTGTTTTTTCTATCCTCTGTCTAGTCTGTATCTACATCACGCACACTAAGCAGTTCATTCAGATGGCTGTGGCTGTGAAGCTGCAAAGTGATAACTAGTACTTTAATATCACATAAAAACCTGAAATTATTATTAATCACGACTTTAATTTGGTGAACTACACACTGTAGCTTGCATTTATTTGCCTTTCTGTAAATGCACACTAAGTTTGCAGCCAATCAAAACTGCTTGCTATGCAAGACTCAATCTCCCAGGCAGAGTTCTATTTCTAAGAATATATCTCTGCCACCATGTAATATTATGCTCGTCGTCACAGTGTTCCTACCGGTACTTTCAAAGACGTCCACAAAAACATTGCCATGCAAGTGTTTGATTTTCGAACCCGACGAATGTGTACACAGATTGTTTACAGATTCTAATTAAACTTTAATGACAATTATCAATAATTTAGCACAAATTTTGCTGTTGTCCTATAAAACAGCTACATCCATACTATGACCTAATTGTTCAATCATTGAATCACAAAGATTGCCATTTACTGTGGGTGCATGGTCATAATAATTGATATTTTGATAACATACAATAAATTTTTTGTGCAATATGAACTGAATAATATATATATATAAACAAACTTGGTTCTTTTTCTCATATTGTCTGTATGCATGTGACATCACTATGCTCTAAAACGTCTGGCAAAACAGGCTCGTGTAGTCAGTGTAGTAAACTTGGACTGCCAATTGCAGGCAATTTGAATTTTTTTGATTCAGTAAAAATCAAATCTAGTGAATAAACCTTTTTCTCTATATTTTACATTCAACTCATCAAAAATCAGTGAAAATAAACTCCATAAAAAATGCAGAAATGCCTTTTCAGTAAAAAATAATTCCTGTTAAAATAAAGTTTTTTACTGTATCACATATTGTTGAAGGCCGATTTCATGTGCCCTATGAAATATTCAGTAAATAAACTTTTAGGATTTCAATTTGAATAGAAAACAAAGAGTGAACACACTTCCTGTACATGGAATGCCTTTCATAAAAGACTCATGTTGGACAAAAATAAAAACAAAAGCCGAAACCACAAATGTTCTACCACAGAGGGCGCTAAACAATTATTATCAAATGTTGAAAGACACAAAAGCATTTCTATCACACACAGGAATGTGTAATCTACTTATGTCAATAATTTAAAAAATGTAAGAGTTCTCCAGACAGAAAATCCAGATGCTGTAAAATGTATACAAATGCGCACTTAAACAATTCATAATATTTTCAATACTTACTTTTATATACAAATAAGCAAAAATCTGACAAAACACACCATCTCTTTCTCCATGTCTTCAACCCACTACTGTCCTGTTTATACAGCCACCCACGTACAGTCACATTAGACTTGTCTCTCCGCTTCACAGCAGGGGCTGCCTTCTTAGGCACAGTTTTCTTGACAAAATTTGGTTTCTCCATGTCAGTATTGGTGGAAAATGAGCTTACACTCAGCTGGTCTTTCTTTGGGGACCTTTATGGGAATTAAACAAAGAAACATTGTTGATGTGTTGTATTTAAATTTAAGTTAAGTAATAGTATTAAGTTAATGGAAGTATACAAACAAATCCTCTGATTTAAAACCCACAAATGTCAACAGTGAACCAGCAGTCTCGATCTTCTGTGATGTTCAAGAATTGTTAGGTACATGCTAATTTCATTTCTGTTGTAGGTATTATACAGTTTCCAAAACAAAAATTCAGTATCATATTTGCTCAATTCGAAACACATTCCCTTACACAGATGTGAAAACCCACCTATTGCTTCTTAACCAATCAGAATGCTTCATTGTGGAACTTTATATATACTACATGTATATAGCTTTTTCTCCTAGTTCTTATAAATATATACAT